ACCATTAATCAATAATACTTACGTTGATAATGTTATAAGCACATCAGACTTAAGCGAGCTATTCAACAAACACAGCGAATTAAAAAACATTAACGGGGACTCAAAAATGAACATCGGACAATTCAAAACCAACCATGCCCCCACCAACAGCAAGATCCCATCCGAAGACAGACAACAGAACGAAATGGTATCAGTACTTGCGCTAGTATGGAATCCGCAAGATGTCATAATATTCAGATTAAAAAAATGGGTCGACAAAAAAGTCACCAAAAGATCAGTCGTATCATTTATCGCGAGCCAGTTTGACCCATTAAGACTTCTTTCCCCGACTACCCTAAACTGGAAACAGTTTTGCCAAAAGCTTAGGGAGAATAAGACAAAATGGGATGACGAACTAACTCCAACAGACGTCAAGGAATGGAAGAAACTGGTGGTAGGCGTGGAAAAGCAAACCTTCAAATGGAAAAGGCAAGCATTCCCTGACGGACACTGGGACCTTCGCGTCTTCACAGATGCTTTGAAGAAAGGGCACGCCGCAGGAAAAGAAAAAAAAACAGCAAAAGTACAGACAAAAATTCTTTATGCAAAATCCCGGCTCATGCTCCTGAAGCCCTCGACCATTTCTAAAGCAGAACTAGTAGCAGCCCAAATAGGCGCACGAGCACTCCGATACGTTCAAAAGGAATTGCAGCTTGAACAAGCCGAGATCTCGACCTGGTCGGATTCTAAATGCGTCCTATACTGGTTACGGAAAGCAAAGCCAGAAGCTCTCCCTAGGTTTATTTAGAATAGGGTTAAGAATATACACGAGCTTGGAATAATATTTTGATTTCTGCCAACATGCGACAACGCGGCTGATGTTGGCTCCCGAGGGTGACCACCAGAAGAACTCCGAGAGAATCCGTGCTGGTGGAACGGACCAGAATGGTTGTCACATAATGAAGCGGAATGGCCTGAAGACGTCGAGGTAACACAAGAAGATGTAACAGAGGAATTGCAACCAATACAGATACAACTGGCAACAACCTTCCTAGTCAATACTGACTAAAAAGAAGAAGTTATTGACGTCGCTAGTTACAACAGCTTACAGAAACTAGAGTCAGTTATCAGCCAAAATAGCAAATAAAGCAAAAAAGAGGCTCGATGTGCAACATAGTGTTTTAAAACAGAAGACATTAAACACAGTTATAAGACTAGCCCAGCAAACAATCGCGTCAGTAGAAATTCGAAGACGGCAATTGAAGAAAGATGAAGAAGGCATCTTCAGGACTCATGCAAGGCCGGACAACATCCCACATAGAAGTCCCCAAGTACACTTACCCTCCAATCAACATGTTACACATTTGATAATATTGCAGTAGCATGTTTCTTTTGGCCGCTTTTGGCCACGGAGGGGTAAGCCTAGTACTAAGCCATCTACGGCAAGAGTACTGGCTACCCAAAGAAAGGCAAACAGTCAAGAAGATAATAAAAAGGGACTGCTATTGGTGTAGGATATGGAGTGGAAAACCATTTAGGTTACCACCAATGCCAGTACTACCAGCCGAACGCGTGACACCCTCAAGAACCTTTCAGCACGTTGGGGTGGATTATTTGGGACCTATACTAGTGAAGAAAAATAATTAAGTTTAGAAGGGGTGGATATGTTTATTCATATTTCTAGCAACTAGAGCTGTTCATCTGAAATGCGTTACTAGTTTCTCAGTCAAAAACTTAAATTATATATTTCACCGCTTCGTAGCAATAAGGGGACAACCGGAGACAATAACCTCCGACAACGCCACACAGTTTACAGCAGCGGCCAAAAGAAACAAAATTGTTTGGAAATTTATTGCAGCCCACGCCTCTTGGAAAAGAGGGTTTTATGAAAGGCTGATAGGTTTCAGTAAACAGACTATGAGAAGGGCGATAGGTAAAAAATTGCTGTCTGCCACAAAGTCAGAGCAATTAGCCAGCGCCACAATGAGGATTCTAAACTCTAGGCCTCTATTACAAATGGAAGATGACTGCAATAAAATCTTGAGGCCTGTAGACTTCCTGATCCTAGCAGTTCTCATGGGAAAAACAGAAAGCCTAGAGCACAACACAGCGGCACACGGCAATCAGCAGTTAATAAAAAGAAATTTATTACTACAGCAATGTCTTCAAAGACTGTGGGAGCTTTGGCAACATGACTACATCTGTGATTTATTAAACAAAAACCAAATAATCCATAACCAGACCAAATGCAGTAAAAAACAACCACCTAGAATAGGCAAAGTTGTCTTTATCTATGACGCGAACATACCTAGAGCTCAGTGGAAACTAGGAAAAGTAGTAGAGATGCCTCACAGTAACAACAACCACATAAGAACGGCAGAAGTCCAAACGGCTAATGACAGGATTATTGGACGCCCCGTTAACTATCATCTTAGAGATCCCAGTTTTCCATGAGAAAGTCCACCACCCTGCTGACCAAAACTTACAGCAGGAATCTATTAACACAGTAACTGCACGAAATCAAACAACGCAGCAAGAAGTAAAGCATGTAAAAGCACGCGCCACGACAGAGTTTCCGCTGCACATAAACAGCGCATGTGTTATTCTACTAATGACAATAATCTACCTGGTCGGGCCCTGCGCTGCTGGCAACCACAAAGATAAAAAATTTTTCTGGTGCTCACAAACAGCATCGAAGACATTGTTAGCCCTCCTCCAACCAATAAATTGCACTGTAGACCCGCAAACGAAATAAACACAACTCGTATAACCTTGTACACCAAAGCTATCGTCGAGACTGAGACCTATGCATGCTTTAATATTACCAGACAGATCTGTACAAAGAGTTTCTTCAAAATTGTCTCCTCTGTGCAGAAAGACGAAATCGTCAAGCAATCGATTAAACCACATATCTGCCAGCGCATCAGAGAGAACAAGGTATGAAACGGCATCCAGCTCCAAAACGATTCAAACGTCAGCTGGTCCAGCAGAGTACCTATGTATTACTCGTTCGTATGGTTTGGGACCGGATGCTATGCCCCTAGCAACTTATTTATAAAAAAGAGCTTTGTAGCGAACATAGATGACAAGCGCATAATATCTAACTTGGCCACCAGCCACCACTGCAGCCCGCTCATGGGCTAATGTTGAACTAAAGGCACTACAATTGTTTGGAACCCTCTTAACTTTCAGCAAGCTTGCGGTTTCCAACGTCAAGGCACATTTTTAGCACAAATAACATCAGATAGGCTCTTTATACCGGAGCTACAAGCGTCGCTAAGGTTTCAAACTAATACAACGGTGGAACCCGAAATACAGAAGAGATGCGGCTTACAGAAGGCCCAAAAAATGGTTGGTGGAGCAGTCGTCATCATCAATGATGAGGTCATGCCTAAGGTAAAACTGGACGCTAAAATATGGAAGGTACTGCAACACGGGGAACAATCGGGCACAGAATACAACCCCGTGAACCCCAAGTTTACAGTACCTCCACGACAAAATGAAGCACTACATCAATCAGCAGGAAACAAAAGCTACAATCTAGCGTTGCCAGCTGAGTAATACCATAATAAGACACATCTATCAGCTGGCAGAAGAGCAACCATCAAAAGCGGAGCGACTACTTTTACAAAGATATAATATAGTGGCAATAAAGGCCAGGGAAGCCTTAGCCATCTCACCATGCACAGAGGTCTTATCAAAAATTGTCCACTGGGACCACAGGATCAATAGAACATGTTTCGAGGATCTTCCAATATACTTAGCAAATCAGTGGGTATTTGCATCACCCCACACAAAGGTCATTAAATTGACTTTTAACAGGACAGATTGTTATCACAGAACACCACCAGCTTATAAGCGAAATGAGAAGTGGATAGACGGAGACCATGAGATCCAATTACGAGAGTTGCATCAAAGACTTACACCTGTACTACATGAGCAACAAATAGATTTTACGGCTCGGCCATTTTTCGACCTGGAAGTCGAGAAAATAGAAAAAGAGATTTAGTTTCTCTCGTCAAGACACCAATGGACAGAAGAGATGAGACTCCGTCCTCCACATGAACTCCGACCTATAGATGTCCCACGATCTATCGAACATGCAGTATACAGCATTAAAACAACAGTAGTCTAAGCGACAGCCTCAGCGATACATTTAGCGAATATATAGAACCCTAAGTGGACGCTAGTGTTCTATAGTACTTGGATGATAATGTTAACAATATTATTCGCTAAACTTAATATTTTAAAATTGGTCCTCAGCTCAGGAAGACAGCCTATAATACTACTATATTATATTTACAGGCAACTGCTAAAGAGAACAAGACAGATAGACTTAAAGTAGTCAACACATAACGATTACAAGGACAAGCAGATGCCGAAAGAGTTTAAAACTAATGTAATAATACCAATAAAAATGAGGCCCTTAAAAGCTTCAACAGCGCCTCCACCAAATTCTTGACCCTCTTAGCGAGGGAGGTGCTCCTGTTAACAGCAATGAAAACCAAAATTAAAAAATTCAAATTAAAAGCTAAGCTATTTACCTATTTTTTCCTATTTTGTTCTTTCCGCCTGTATCTCTTGAATTATTGTTATCAAAAAAAGAATCACAAACAATTTACCATTTTAATCGAAAGAACGTAAAAATATAATCAAACAAATTAATATCTTAACTATTTCTTCCCAATTGAAAGAAATCAAAAAATAATAATAATCAAAACTAATAAACAGTATCGTAATGTTTTCCAAAAAAAAAAGAAAAAGAAATTTTTTAAAGCAAAAAAATAAAGAAGCAAGGAATAACCAAATTATATTAAGATATTCCTTTTGTTGATTAAAACAAAAAATCAAGCAAGGAGGATCCCCCTCATCTTAATTTTGACCTTATTTTATCTCCACTGTTGTCAGTGTACACCTTGTTGGTTGTTATATCACTCTTATCTACTTATGCACGTGTTGTAAAAGGCCCTTGCTCATATTGTTAATTATTTTTATGCTGCCGCTCTGATTTGATAATTGAATGTATGAAGTGATTTCCTGTAACCAGGTGGTCCAGCGCAGACACTTCTTACCTCACAGGGAAAGGCTGGTTGGAGCGCGACGACCAGAAAAGAGGTCCGCAGGAAAATAGCAGAAGAATAGCCCTTCAATCTTATCAACTCAAGGCTGACATCCCAAGACCAGGGTCATCCGTCTTGTCTAGCAGATATGAAAGGAGTACTCAGCTCAGTACGATACCCAGTCATGATGTCGTCTAGCGTTTGGCAGTCCAGCGACTATTTGGGGGAGGAAGGGGTTCAAGCCACAAACTTTCCCAATTGAACCCCCCGTCCTCTGCGAGGTACCTGCG